CTCTCTCTCTCTCTCTCTCTCTCTCTCTCTCTCCCGCTCTCTCCCGCGCTCTCCCTCCCTCTCTCTCTCTCTCTCTCTCTCTCTCTCTCCCTCCCTCCCTCCCTCCCCTGGACTGATGATTTCTCCGTCCTGTTTTATTCTCCTCGGCTGTATTCAGCGGAGACAGAATGTCATCCTCCACACTGAGACTCTTCTCTTCACTTCCTCAATTAGGCAGCTCATCCATCGCCATGATTACATGCTGCTAATTAAGCAGCTAATCAGCTAATTACCCAGGAGCAGAGAGGAACGACGTGTGTGTGTGTGTGTGTGTGTGTGTGGTTAACACGAGGTGTCATGTGAGAGCCAGCAGAGCATAATTCATGGTAGTTTTTATGCGTTTTGTTCTATATTTTAGGAGTTTTTCTGTAATCTTTTGGGAGTAAATATTTTTACAAGACAGAAATTAAAGAATCTTTCCGGCTCAGTATCTGCAACATGCATCCGTTTAATGTTTTATGAAATCCAGACTCCTCACTTTACATGTCTGCATTGTGCCGGAGCTCAGATGAGCCAGAGGGGGTCTGAATGATTCAGGGCCCTGAACGTGCCGGGGATTATGGATGCTGATTGTGCGTGAGGCGTTCAGGGGCACGCCGCGAGGGATGAGTGCAAAGAAATGTCTGCCAGCATCCGACTAATCAGAGCCACTGCTTTTACCCGCTCGTAGTGGGAACCCAGAGACGTCTGGTTCTAGACACCAGGAAAGGCCTCTCTGCCTTGTTCATGTTGCTACTGGTTTATTGTTTCTGTTGTATCATGTAAAGTGCCTTTGAGTATCTTTTAAAGCGCAATACAAATAAAATATATTAATATTATTATTATTATTAAATGTAATCAAGATTTCTTGTATTTTTCCTCCAACTCAATAAAATATTTTTGAATGTAGATTCTGAGATATTGGATGATGATATAATGTTTATACTTAAAATATATATTTTAGATATTTAGAAGTATGGCTTTTGTATTACTGTTGTGTAATCATCTCAGTGTTTCATCTCTTACTCATTGGAAAGATGAAAATACCATTTTGGGTGTGAAATGATCCCCAATATGAGCGATACAAAGCTTTAAAGAGGAGGAACAGGAAGTGGACTCAGCTGAGAGTCCCTTCTGTTTGTCAGCTTTAAGAGGAGCTGCGGACAGCTTTGACATTTCATCATTCAAATCATCATCACTTATGAATATAAATGTGGCCGATGCGATTTGAATTTGAGAATACGGAGGACAGGAGTTTGACGAGGGGATCAAACTCACGACCTTCTGGGTCACTGCCCCCCCCCCAGCTCCAAGGACGCCCGCTCACAGATCCTCAGATTGATCGTGTGTGTCCCCCCCCGTCCTCACTGATAATCTTATTGCAGCGCTGTGATTCTGTCTAACCCGGCTAACACCTGATAAATCAGATATGCTGAACTTCATAGATCCCCCGAGGGGAGAAACCAGGACGTCACAGCAGCAAAGAGAAGCGTTAAAGAATCCTCGGGATTAGAATATTAAGGCAGTAAAGGAGAGAGAGAGAGAGAGAGAGAGAGAGAGAGAGAGATAAACCTGAATAAAACAAAACAATAAAAAGAAATCAGAGGAGCTTCTTTATAGCGCTAATTAAAGGAGCAGCCACGAGGAGGACGGATCCCCAGAGCTATTGACATTTCGCCATATTCAATATGACAGATATGACTGATTAGTTCACCGGGCAGCCTCATCAATAATCCGCCTGCCAATCAAACGTGACCTTTAGAGGGGAGGTGATGAATTAACGGGGCCACGGGACGATCCGATACCGACCCCTTCCAATCCATCACGACGGGTGCAGGGACGGGGGGGGAGGGGGGGGGGGGGGGGGAGGGGGCGGTTTTGGTTCGACTTGTCAGGATGACAAGTGCAGGGATTTGTGTCGTGGTTCTGCTGCGGAAAACATGCTAATGCAGCTAAAACGATGGAGGTCCAGTGCTCTTTAGGAAGAGGGTAGGGTGGAGGTATCGACTACACTTTCTGGTTCCTACCGACAGACAACATTGGTTCCTGCTGACTTTCACGGTCCCGTAACCTAAACCGAGGATGTTTCTGTGTTTAAAGCTAACTCAACCTGGTGGCAACTTAGAACATAGGCCAGGGTTCAGGCTGTGCTCATCCAGTATTCTTTGTGGTGGACGGACAATTAAAGTCCCCCTCGTTTTGTTAAAAGGTTTTAAAAGTAGTAGAATCAGGAGATGTTGGGTTTTCCCGGGGAGAGAAACTGTCGTGTGGGGGGGGGAGATGATGGAGTCCTACGTTTTATAAATTGTTCTGATTCACCGAGATCTGAACTCAATGCGAGCCAGGCCTCCTCGGCATGTGGTCTGGGTGATCGGATCCCAATGCGACCAAGATCCGATCTCAGAGCATCCAGACTCGACAGTTAACGATCGAACGAAAACAGTTCCATTGAACAGAAAAGTGTCGCTTACACACTTTGAGGTGCGTGTTGTTTGTAGAAGAGGCAGAATACCTCACTTTAAATACATAACTCAGAAGAAATGAGATGAAATGAACCGCCAGGGAAAACACACCGACACTGAGCGACATGTCAAAGCGAGGACACAGACAGACAGTCAGACAGACAGTCAGACAGACAGTCAGACAGACAGACAGACAGGACTACTGTCCGTACCTCTATCTTTCTCCAGACGGCGGGGTCATTGTCCTGACTCTGAATGTCCTCCAGCAGCTGCTGCACCAGGGACGCAGCTCCACGCACGTCCACCGGGGGCACCGCCGGCCGCAGACGCCGATCCGCAGACCTCCGTCCCTCCTCGTCTTCAGAATGCAGGTCGCACAACGGACCGGACTCGATGCCGTCGTCCAATGAGGGAGCGAAGTCGCTGGAGGAGGTGGAGCTAAAGCGGCTGACCAGGTTTCGTCTGTAAGGAAGCTGAGCGGGAACGGGGGGGACATCATGAGAATATATTCTGGATCCACGAATGTTTTCCAGCATTTAAGGAGTGAGAAACATTGAAAAAGATAAACGTGATATACCAGTGGAGGCAGGAGAGAAGGCAGGTCGTCCCCACCGTCCCAGTCCGTCAAATCCCAGTCATCCACATCCTGCAAAGCCTCCTGGGTAGAGTCACAGTCACCGGGCCTCTGCAGGACAAAGAACCAACAGAAACATCAGCAGTGTGGTTTTTCTGTAGCGTAAAACTGGAATTATGTGCAAAGAATGACGTGCATTCAGGCTGGAAATAAGATCTGTTTAAAGGTTTACAATCACAAGAGAGTGGATCTAAACTAACCAGAGGGATGGACTGAGCCAGACTTTCCAGCTTCATAGCGAGCATCTCCGTCTTACGGAGCTGACCGGGGAGGGCCAGGAACTCCTCTGACCCGTACCAGTGCTCCCTCTCTGGGCTGGATCTGGAAGAAACCTGGGCGGCCTGACGGAGGAGACAATCATCTGATTCAAACACAGTAAAATAAACTACAGATAGAAAACTGTGCAAACTAAAACCATCAGAACTACGATGGCAACCAATACGTGGAATTATTGGTATTTGATCAAAAGCCTCCATTTCCTAATTCTTGGCCTGACAGACTTAATGTCCTTCCTGTATGTAGAGATAATTAGGGAAAGCATCAGAGGTTGCACGAGAAATCTAAACAGTAAAAGCAATAACGATGTAAACAAAGAGATAGATGACATCATAACAGGAAATTACAAAACAAAAAGCAGATTTAGGAGTTTTGAGTGCAGTTCTGAAAGAAGATTTTGTCTTCTGTGTGCACAGATAGGCGTAGTTTTAATTAAGTAATTAAATAAATAAATAAAGGAGGCCCCTGATGATGTCACTTGTGGACAGTAACGCAGACGAAGTTTGTGAAAAGTTTCTAGCGTCTGAATTCTGAGTGAGTTCCCTCCTGGACAAAACGAATATTCGCTCACCTTCTGCCCCTGGCGCCTCACGATCCAGACCGCCGTCTTGCCGGGACGCGGTCGGGGGTCGGACTCCTCTCCGGACGCCTCCAGGTCTGAGGAGAGGAACTGCTCCCTCATCGGGGAGGGCAACGAGGAGTCGGAGTCCCCCTCACTGTGTGCGTGTGTCTCCCTCTGCGTCCTCTCCATTTGTTTAGATATTTCATCCTGAGACGCCGGGTTTTGTGGAGGCGGGGGGGCGTCGGCGGTCCGTCTGGCCCCAGAAGAACTCTGGACGCTCCGCTGAGAGCAGCCTAACTGCTTGGAGCTCACGTGGTTTCTCTGGAGGTTGCGTCCGTTCATGATCTGGGAAGTTAAAGAGAATTTGAGTTCATGTCATTTATACAAACATATAAAAAATAGCAGGGCTTCCAGTTTCTTTAAGGTCTCATCTACGTGAAAGAACTAAAGACAAGAACAGGAAACAAACCTGCAGACTCTCGTAGGACTGGGAAACATTTTCTGGGTAAACCGAGTCCAGCTCCAACCAGAACTTGGAGGGGTCTGGGGGATCCATAAGAGACGGGGTGCTCCGACTCAGCTCGGCCTGGAAGTGGAGGCCGGAGGGCGGGCCGACCTTCCCCAGACCTCCCCTCGAGTCCTCCGCCCTGGTTCCTCCGTTTGAGAACAGAGCGGCTCTCTTGGGAAGAGACGGCTGCGTGGGCGACACCTCGGTGCTGTGGCTCACGCCCTGCAGGGGGCGCTTCACGTTTTCAATGTGGTTGGATGTGCCGCACTGCATTGTGGGTATTATTGAGAGAGAATGGTTGAGGTTTGTGGCGAGTTCGGGTAAACTGTTGTGGTGTTCGTGGTTTGAGAGGCGGATTCCTTCGCCCTCCTCTGCTCCCGGTTCCAGTTTTGGGCCTCGAGTGTGGCCGAGCTCCTGGGAGGGATCCTCCTCTTCCTCCTCCTTCTCTTCCTCCTCCTCCTCTTCCTCCTCCTCCTCCTCTTCCTCTTCCTCCTCGTCGGCGGTGGGTTCAGATCCTCGCGCCTCGGGCTCGTCACTGGGGCTGTAGTCGCTCAGCTCGAAGGCGGTGATGCCGCAGTCTAAAGAGAAGTAGTCCTGGCTGCAGCGAATGGTCAGCTGGCCGCAGTCGTCCACCTCCGTCAGAGCGTCCAGGCGAGTCTGGAGGAGAAGAATCAAATAAAGTCTAAACTATATTTAACTAAAGCATTTTATTAGAGGAAACTATGTTTTGGTTAGTTTTGTATTTTCTAATTTACTGGACAAAGAGCAGACACGTTTTAGAAAGTGCATCGTCATGTTTTACAGAATCGATGACCGGCGATTGTCGCACGCCGGTTAGATTTGTGTCCGACTTGCTCTGACGTCATGAACACGTGGTCAACGATGACCTCAGCTGCTCTCCACAGACTGCATGACCCAATGCATGATGGGAAACGCCTGGCTGTCTCCTGATCAAAGAGCCGATTGGCCCTTAGGTTTGACGACAAACACCACGTTTTTGTAGAAAACGTCTCTTTTTCTGCGTATTTATAATCTTTAACACCAGATTGTTGGCTCGTAGTCTCATGCTGTCCAATGAAGGTTCAACTTAAAAACATTATCTTGTGCGATTGATAATAATAAGGCTTATAACACAAGGTGCTTCACAACGCAGACATAAAAAGAACAAAGAAAAGAATACAATGCCAGATGCACGCACATAAATATATACAGTATACATATATATATATATTTAGAAACACATAAATGAATCCGAACGTGGTCTGCAAACAGGATGTAGCTCACCTCAAATGAGCCTTTTAACAGTTTGAATATAATGATAATACATAACACAGAGGTTGGTTGTTGGTTCCTCTGCCGATGAAGACCCAGCACAGAGCACTGTGGTGGTGTCGAGGAGCGTCAGTGGCTTGTTGTGTGATCTACCTGGTGCTGGTCCTCGCTGAAGGCCTGCAGGATGTCGGTCTGCCGGGTGTAGTTCCCGTTGGAGTCCTGTAAGCCCTGCAGCAGTCGCTCCTTCAGGACCAGAACCGAGACCCTGAGCTGGTGCCACAGCAGCTGCACCGTCCTGAACCCCCCCGACACAAAAACACCACCGGCTTTAAACAGCAGGTCCTCCATATTTAATACCAACAAATCATTTAGATATCAGACCGGACTCACGTGGGATTGTGGGTAGTTTAACAGATCTCTGGTTAAAAAAGCACTGAAAGTGTTAGTTTATTATTTGTTGGTTTGTGTATTTATTCTATATTTCATGACTTTTCTCTGACAGCAGATAGATATTTGTTCACCATATGTTTTACCTTATAAGTGAGCGCACTTATTAAAAACGTTATTGGCACAACAGCTGAGTTCTTTTCCTTCTTGGTGTGATAAGTTTTAGAGGTGAGGTGAAATCTGTCTCTGTACTAAGACTTGTGACTTTACCAATTTATTAATATACAAAACAATGACTGACCTGTTTTACAGAATGTATGGTCGATTTGTTTTTTTACATTTTTATTTTTATTTCATTTCATTTCATTTTATGATTTATTTGTTACTTTTGTATATTTGTATTTATTTATTGGAATTATATTTAAATATTTTATGTATTTACTGTATTATGTATTCATTGTTATTTTTATGTATTTGTTTTATTATTAATTGTATTATTTTATAGGGTGATTGTTGACAGGCATGGCTGGTTGTTTCATTAGTTTTCTTCTCTTCTTTTGTCATTCTTAACATCCCTTAGTGTTGTGTACCTTTCCACTATTGACCGTGTTTGCCTCTTTGGATTGTGCACACATCAATAAAGTGTTAAAGCAAAAATACACAAAACTTTAAAGAATAAGTCGATGTTTCTTAGAGCATAAAGAAAACAAAGAGATTCACTGGTCCACATTCGACAAATAAAAAGTAACAATAAACTCACTAGAAACTATTTAACGGGAGAAGAAACCCTTAAAGTATCACAGAACATAAATATACGACAACATCATAAACACTATTTAAACAGAGAGCATCATCTCATATCTCACCGGATGTCCACGATGATGCTGACGGAGTACGACAGCAGCTTCAGGGAGAACTCCGTCTCCAGCAGGGCGTGAATCTGCTCCACATGGTCCGAGATGTCCTCACAGATGTCCTAAAGTCACACACACACACAACAACATTAGCAAAATTACAAAATAAAGGCTTAGTAACCAACCGAACACGCACATAAAAGCCCACCTGATCCCAGTCACGGCAGAGTCATAAACCAGTTTAAATCTTTGGGAACAAAACATCCTCAGAGTGGAAAACAAAAGCAGAAGTGAGGACGTCTCGTCTCCAGTTTTAAACGTGACTCATGAGTGTTCATGAGTTCCAGGTTTGTGTGTGAAAACATGGAGAACACGTCCTGTGTGTCAGTCAGGGATCAACATTCAGTACCGACTGATATTACTGAACTAAATCAGGATGCTTCAGACAGATAGACAGACAGACAGACAGACAGACAGA